GACCCTGATGCTGGGAAAGATTGAAGGCAAAAGGAGAAGGGGATGGCAGAGGATGAAATGGCTAGACAGCATCACTGAAGCAATGAACATGAAGCTGAGTAAACTCCAGGGGGCAGTGAAGGACAGGAAGGCCTTCTGGTTTGCGTAGATCCTGACAGGCGCATTATGGTTCACGGGATCACGAAGAGTCGGACACGACTTAATGACTGAACAACAAAAACAATTCTACACAGATGTAAATTGTTGTGTATCTTATATGCGTGCTGGATAATTACAATGAAGTATCTTACATGTGTGCTAAATAATTATAATGACGTAGATTAATTTAGAGACTTTTATGATGCATTAAAAAGCCAAAAGTGATGTCAGCTTGCTTGTACTGTGCTGTTTTATATGTGTGGACTTAATTGATTTAGATTTTAGAAACTAGAAGAACTCTCACTGTTTACTGCTTTGGCTTTATCCAAATAATCTCCACCAGAGAACTGATTATACCTTCTTGGGCAGCTTCATGTGGTGAAAAAATCCGAGCATCACCACAAGGGGAGGTGCTGATATAGAGATGAAACTGCACATTTTCATCCAATTTAAAGCCACCTTGTTCTGACTTGATAAAAATAGATTTTTGTTGGTCTTCCTTATTGCTGAAACGAAGTGAGAAAATATTACTCAGGTTATGGGGAAGTACATCAAACAAAACCTATGTATAGTTTAGCATAACTGGATCAAAGATGGTATGGTACAGTCATATATTTGTTGTAATAAATCAAAAGAAATACTGAGAGGATTGCCAACAGAACTAAATTATTCTGCAGATAATTAGGGGTTTTGGGGGTTTTTTGCTTAAGTAATTTAGCAGCAAAACCTTACATTCAGGCATGGAATATATCAAAGAAAAAAGGAAGGAAAAATGGAGTCCATTAAATAGTAGAAGATAGGAGACTAAACAAAAACAAGAACACAGAGAAAGAACAAAACTTGAATCAATTAAGCAAAATAAAAAAAAAAGAACATTTTGGTGTTAGATAAGGTACACAAAAAACTTGTTGATTTAGTAAAAACAACTTAGGAAAAAAGCAATTTATTTATAAACAAATGGCTGAAATGCACCCTTTGAAATCAACCAAAGAAAAATCAGAAAGAACATTGGCTCATAAATTCATGGCCAATGTCTATAAATTTCTCCTGACACACCCAATACTCACTTCCAAATAACGAAGTGCAGAAGCACACTCTTATTCATAGCCATTTTCATATCTTTTTACAAACATTATGCTTTGCAACAGACTACATACCACCCATTATCTTTCTATCAGCTTTTGCAAATCTTTTTTTTTTTAGATGTTTTATCCTGCCTTTATTATTTTTATAAATAACTCAAGGTGGTGAGCATACTTAATACTCCTTCCTCCCATGTCCCCCACAATAACAACACTGTGAGGTGAATTGGGCTGAGAGAGAGTGACTGGTCCAAAGTCACCCAGCCGGCTTTCATGCCTAAGGCGGGGACTAGAACTCACTGTCTTGTAGTTTCTAGCCTGGTGCCTTAACCATTACACCAAACTGGCTCTCTTAAAAATTTATCTTAAAATTTAAATAAGAAATCTTAAAATTTCTTCGTCTATCCAGCCCCATTTAACATTCTATCAAGAAACAGAAATTTATCTATTTTTTCTATATTTTCAATATTTACGTATAATGTGCATTAGCTCAATTTTCCACAAGTTCAGCACAGTGCACAGCCCTTCCATTTTTCAACATTCTCACAGAATGTATGACTTCATTTCATTAATTATTTCCTGGGCACAAACATTTATACCATTTGCTTTTATACCATATTTCCCTTCCAGCATTTCCATTCATCAATGTCATCCCAATTATTTCATCAGTTTTATTCTTAATTCCATTAAATCTGCTGAAAGCTCCATGGAGATTTATTTATGCTTTAATATGCACAAAAGAAGCAAGAAAAATTCCAGGGAACCGGTGACATTTTAAGGTGGCTCCCTTATTGTGGGTGATACGTGGTTGCTATACTTCTCTCTCCGTTTGTGGTTTGTAAATTCTAATTTTTTAATTATTTTAAATTTTTTTAATAATGATTATATTTTTACAATAATTGTTTTCATAAAGACTGTTTTTATATTGTAGTTTTATTTGGCTGGTGTATGACACCCAGACTCACTTCTGGTGAGATGGGCAGCTATATAAATTAGATAGATAGATAGATAGATAGATAGATAGATAGATAGATAGATAGATAGATA